TGTTTTCCTTAAAAACAATCCTACTTCTCAGCATCTAACCAATTTACACTTTTTCTTCACCAATGACTTAGAACTCATCTTTCCATTTTTTTATATAAAGCACTTACGTCTTAATGTCTTAATGGCTGTACCACCAATCCAAAAGTCTACATCATTTTCCAAGTCTCAGAAGTTATTCAGACAAGGCAATTCTTGAGCTGCAGGGCTAGAAATAGTGCTATGTAGTCTTTATGTAGTCTTTAAAACACCGGACAAACATTACTTTCCGGAAAGACATTTAAAGAAAGAAATAAAATATGATGTGATTTTAAAGCTATAGTGTTAATTAATTTGTAATGAAAGAACAACCCACAGAGCAGTAAAGATATATTTAGGCCCAATTAAGACAAATTTCTTTTGGTGAACAGGGGATAAGAGAAAAACATGCTGTGGTATCTTTCTGTGCACCAGCCTTTCAGCAAAGGCTTGCAAAAAGACTAACAGGGTGTGGAAAACATGCAGTTTTGGGCACTTCGTGTACAATGTCTCTGAAACTGTTTGATTTTGGGTTGTCTACCTCCTCTCCTCACTTTCTAAGGAGGTATGAACACAAGTGGAAATGCAAATTTCAAAGTGAACAGAAGATACCAATACAAACAACAGCACAGTGCAGCACAGAGAAATCTTACAGCACAGGCAAAAAGTGTTGTGGCAATAAACAAATGTGTTAGGAATGACATAATTATTGCCCAATGAAAACATCTCCAAGATTAGAAATTTATAATCTTAGAACTGTTTGGACTGGGGAAAGATTAGAGAGATAAGGCTACTGATCATTACTGCCGTTTCAAATCTTGAAACTCACAATAGTGAGTCATATTTTTATATTTCTGCAGCCGTGAAAATATTATCTTCTAGACACAAAAAATGCCTTTAATGGTTTTTTTTTTCCACTAACCTTGAGGGTCAAACATAAGAAAATAAAATTTGGAGGATTTCAATTGCCACTGCAGCTTCTCACCATCTCAAGACAATGTCAGAATACGAGTTTAAACTTACGAAGACAGTAAGTTTCCAAAAGTTGTTGGCTCCCTGAATTAAAATTTTAATTTAGAGCCATTTCCTTAACTGTTCAGCTTCATTCACTGACAAAACACTCACAGGTGCAGGTGTAACTGAAATCTTAACTACACATCTAAGATTACAAGGCTAACCTGCTCTAACTTCCTTAAACACTTCTGGCCCTTAATCTATCACCCCAGTAATACCACACAGAGCTGCTTTGGTAGGATCAAGGATTAACAGTATACAGCTTTGGGTAGGCAAAGAAAATGTGAAAGAGAATCAGTGAAGCATGTCTCTTTTTGCTGAAATTTATAAAGACAAAAAATACCAAAAGTTCCATTCTTGATCAAAAATCATCTGTCTGCTTTGCTTACAGAATGCGAGCTCCCACTTTTTCAATAATTCATGTTTTAAATGTGTTTAAATGAGATCTCACTAGCTTTCTACTGATGACATAACTCAGGGTCTGGTATCTGAAATTTCTATATAAACAGCACAACATGAAGACTTCCTCTGCATATGAGCTGCTTGCAGCAGTCAGACTACTGTGTTTCTTCCCAATCTCAACTACAAAACATCTATAAAAATGCCCACACAGCTATCATAATACAGGGCTAAATGCTGCTATTCATTTGCATAAGCCTCTGATATTGGGGTAGTAAATAAAGGCACTATCTTTGCCTTGCAATCTAAGGAGGATTGCACAGACAAACATAACTTGATGGCTACTTATTCCTTTCATATACAGATGACATTTTAAGGAAAGTAAAGTAAGTAAAATGAGATGGACAGAAATACAAACAGAATTAATATTTCATACATGTTCTAAACAAATTGAGAACTTCAGGAGGATAAAATACATACAGAAATCAAAATAGCAGTGGGAAGGTCACTACATGCCAAGCATAATACAGTGATGGTTAAAAACTGTTGAAAACTCAAACTACTTTCAAACTAGTTGTAAAGCCCAAGACAACATAATTTAGAAAATGACACTCTGGCAACAAAAAACATGAATATTTGCATTCTACAAAGAGATTTTTAGAATAATTTGAGTAAAAATTAAGGTAGTAGAAATACATTGAAAAAAAAATTCAAAATTGTTCAGTAAGGCTAGAAGTTGTAGTTTTTCCCCAGTAAGATTTAAGTATTGATGAGGCATTTTTAGCAACTGAATAAAAGAATAAACCACACACAAATATGTTCCATCTACTTATGTTTTTGAACCTGTAGATGCTTGGCAGGCATTAGGTAACTTTGTCAAACACATCCGCCAAGCCCAAAACTTGGAAGCAGATGCTCCATTGGAAAAATGGTAAAAAGTAGCCTACCACCACAAAACTTCTTGGAAGAGGTTTCAATTTCCACAACAGAAATCACAGTTTGTCTCCAGTTATTCAGTTCCTTTTACAACAGAATATGCTAATCAAACTAGTTCTGAGTTAACAGAAACAAGTAATGGTGAATTTGCTTTGACATATATTCCACCTATTCAATCTTTGGAAGATTGAAAATGGCATAACTAGTGTTACTATCATACCAGTACTTTGAAAACTCAGTTACTTTTACTGGCAGAGAAGACACTACATGCTAGTGCTTGCTTTAAGCAAAATGGCAGAGTGACCTACTGTAAAAGCCTTTCTTCAGCTTTAGCAAAAAAACAGTGAACAAAATTTACAGTAAATAACTCTATTTAAAGGTTTCTTCATGTTTCTACAAAGCAAGTATTTTTTGATCATTACATGCTTTGGAGTTGCTGCTTATATCTACAATAGCTACTATGAGTAGAAGATGACAAAAGAGTCTAGACAGAGAATCTAATACATTTAAGCCACTGGAGCACTGACTTCCTCTTGGGTCTGTCCTCAGATATTAGCAGCACATGAGATTTAGGGAAGGATTTTACCACACTAAGGTAACTCATTGTCCTTTCAACATCTAACCTGCACAATCTGGTATCTATAGGTAAGCATTAATATTTAAAGAATAAAGCCAATTAAAGTCAAGTTGGATTAGCAATACCACTCACTAGCATCTACTGGTGCCAAATACAGAGCCGTTTTACCCTGCACATATTTCACACTAAGAATTGCAGTGGTGTATGAAATACTATGAAGATCTGCTTGTTACACATTCTTTCCCAATTCTGTAAACTAACATGTCAATCTGACAGAACTGGAACCAAAACTGATCTCAAAAGTAAACATGAGTATTTGTTGACACAACTCCCTATAAAAAAGGTACATTTCAGATAATTCAGTTGGATATAACTAACTACAACAATGCACTCAAACCAATGCCAGGCATATCATCACAGAGCTCTTAACGATGCCACCTTCCTATCCAAAATAAGGGAGAACGAAACACGGCCATAGAAAAATTATGAAAGTGAATGTTACCAATACCAAAATCAAAAAAATAGAGACTGTTTCCCAGAAGCTTAAACCACTGGTCAGTTATTGTTTCAATATAGTAATGAAAAAGCTACAATTGATTTTGTATTCATAGATAAAGCTCAGGAACAACCAGTACGGCATTGGATTTACAAAAGGTTTTCCCCTCAGGGAATCTACTAACATCATTTGAAAACTACAATCAAAGCATTTCAAGAAAGATAATATTGAAGACCTTCACAAAACATTCCAAGATCTTTTTCAGTTCCTTAGGCACATTTTTAATAGGTGTATAGTCAAAAGAATTTGAGAAAGTCTAATCCAGGGAAGAATCCTGCCCAGATACAAAAGAATATAAACATTCACTATGTTCAATGTGATGTTAAGTAACAACACAATGTTTTGTCCCATTAATATTCTATCATCTTCTATATAACGCTTACTGCAGATGGAGGTAATACCAGCCAGAATAAACGGACATCCTAACTTCTATTATAAAAAGTGTATATGAGACAGCTATGAACACAGAAGACACTCAGGAAGAACAAATCAAAGCTCTGCATGCCAAAAATAAACATCCATACCCAGCTCAGACATCAACAGAAAACAACAAAACCACTTTCTCATAGAAGGAATGAATATTGGGTAAATATTCTCATACGGTACTTCAAAGTTACTCTTGTCCCTGTCCCAGGGGAAAACAGTGGCCAAAGAGACGTTACCTAATCATACACAAACCCTTTGGCAGTCAAAGGAAGAATAAGCAACCATTAACATGTAGAATTCTCAACTTGAACATACCAGGTTTCCTTCTGAGTGTCAGGAAACAATGTTTAACTTTTCTCAGCTCTACACAGATCAGACCTTACTACTCTAGGTCTGGCAAATCTGCAGAGGGTCTGGCAAACCTGCAAAATACAGTTTGCTAACACTATGGATGTTTTGGCCATGAAGTTAACCTACTGCTGGGTCTAGAAGTATTTTAGCAATCTGAGGATATTAGCAGAAGTCCCCCTCTCATGTGCTTCATGGCACAAAAATTAAATAAAATTCTAGAGAAAAACTAAAACCACTTATGAACAGCATAATGTGTTTTCATCACAGTTTAAGAAAGGTGTTGCTTTGGCATGAGATCTTGTACCAGAGAAGTGACTATTTCACTTCATTGGGGAAAGTATCTGTGCAGCTGTATATTATAAGACATAGCAATTTCCATTTGAAAATATTGCTTAGATGGTTTTGCATAATGTATGATCCAAAGTTTTCCTAATAACGTTGTGACTATTTTTTCAGCATGCAAAAATGTCTAGAGCTGTCAGTATGTAACTAAGTTACTAGATTTCTATTTTTAATTCTTCACAATTTTCACATTTGTTGACAAATATTTCATCACATATAGCAACCTAATTACACTTCCATTTCTCAACTCTTGAGGACTTTAACTGTTCTGAAAAACATGAATATAGTCAGTGTATATAAAATTATGCTGTGTGGTGTCCACACAGTATTCCAGCTTTGTATAAGGAGTTTTAACAAAGACACATTTTAAAAAATTCTACTTACACAGGGATGTTTTCATAGGCATCTTCGAAGTTTTCCTGCAGAAGAAAAGAAAAAGTTTCTATTAAATGCATGTATGTTTTGTAACATAGCAGAAATTTACCATTACCAGATAGCACTTACTTCTACAACAGACAGTAATTACCAGAATATTCACAGTCTACTGACTGTTTGCTAAGCTTTCACTGCAAATCACTTGTACAGAGAGATTTCCCTACTACATCAGACTACAGCTAAATTAAACCAGAGATATTTTCCTTTTTAGATTCTAAACTTCCACCATGTATATCACAGAAGACAATGCAGACTTTTGCCTCAAGAGTTTGTGCAGCACATGTGATGTATTCAGGACAAACTAGCTGAGCAGTGTATCTACACATGAAACAAAAGGTGCTCTGTTCATGTACCTGGCATGCAGGTTGGCCAGAGTACATACAAGACATGACAGATAGTGCACACATGCAGCCAGCTCACATGTGTGAGCAGTTATGTGAACAGCTTAGTCCAGAAATCTAGAAGTTGTTTCTTTCCACCTAGAACCAAAGCTCTTTCAACCTAGGTTCAAATTTCAAATTGAAATAAAGGAAGAAATGCACAAATGTAAAAATGAGAACAGCTCAGCTCAAAAATCATTTATTTCTGTATCCAGCTTCGAAAACTGGGTTCTGGAAGTGTGTAGCAAGGACAAATGGGCAAACAGCCCTCCCTCACATACACGTCTCTACCTCATACTTTCCAGCCTCTGGCAACTCTGGGAATTCCAGACCAAAATAGTTTGGCCATCTTATGATTTTCAGTAGATCTCTGTTCTAAATACAAGCCTGATTTCCTTAATACCATGCAGACTTTGTTTTATTCATGACTTATAACATTAGTAAGGAATTTCATGAGCCTGATACCCATTTAATGCAAAATAAGACTTTCTACTTGAGCCTGGCTCCAGCTACCTTTTTCTAACAATCTCCAGCTTTATTTATTCAAAAACAGTAAAGAACCAATTTGTACTTGATCTTTCCTTGACACTTAAAATTTTGAAAGCTTTTGTTACGTCATCAAACTCATCTCTCCTCTGAGCTCATGACTGCTACCTTACTCACTCTTCAAACCGAAACTATTTTCTACTTTGTAACCGTGATTTCTACTCTTTCCATAAGAAAAACTGGAAGCTTGATGGAACAGACTTTTAACATATGCCAGGAAGATGCCTGGAGACTAACCCCCACTTCTGTACAACCCTTTTCAGTTAGCTGTAGAGAGTTATAAGATCTCTCCAGAGTCTCCTTTTTTCCATCCTAAATACCCTCAGCTCCATCAGCCCCTCCTCACTGGATTTGTGCTCCAGACCCTTCATCAGTTCCATTGTCCTCCTTTGGACACCCCGCAACACCTCACTGTCTGTCCTGGAATGAGGGGACTAAACCAATACAGAATACAGAATTTCAAGGGTGGTCTCACCAGTGCCAAGTACAGAGGGAACTTAAAAGAACTTGGAAAAAGCCAATTAAACGATCCTCCTGATCTGAGGAGAACTGGAGTTTCAAAAAGCTGACTAGAAACCCACAGGAACATCCTCAACAGAAATTCTGTTATCCATGTCTCAACCCCAGACACTGACGGATGTCACCAGTCTTCTAATAAACTCCTTCTCTAAAGACTAATTGCCTCCTTGAGACACTTGTGGAGACAAGAGAAGAAATTAGGCAGAATAAACAAGCAGAACACACTTACAGCTTTTTGAGTACAATTCATCTCTCCTAAGATGAAGGAGATCTCTCCTATTCATCTCTCCTAAGATCTCTCCTAAGAGAACAAACTTGAAAAGCAAAAGTCAAGGTACTTTTAATTGTCAGGTACTTAATAAAGAATAGTAATGACTGGAAATTCACATGAATAAATATCTGTGATGTGAACCTTTTGCAGGCTCTTTCAAACCTTCCTACAAGAGCAGCACCTACTTACATGAAGAAACAGAAAGAGAATTTGCATTCTGTCTAGGTAAATGCTTCCTTTGCCTGGTAGCTTCTGAATTTTGATTCCTGTCATTCACACCAGTCAAATGGCTGTCCAAACATTTAAAATTATGAAGTACAACCTTAGTGTTTTTCCCCAAACACCAAGACATAAGGAATAGTCACAGCCTTTCAAGGGACTCCTAAAAGGTGCTAAAAACAACATCACTGAAGACAGCTTCTATGCTAAAAGAAATAAACTAACTAAACATCAAAAAACCAAAAACCCAATCTGAAAGTTCTTTCTTAAGTTTCCTGTGTCTTCCTACTTCCACTGCATGCAAAATGGGTATTAGAAAGTATTCAAATTCTATCTTGATCCCATTTCCAAAGACTTACACGAGTCTGCAGTTGATCCCACAGACTCTCAGAAAAATGCTGGAGGCAGTAGACCGGAGCCCAGTCATTTTCTACTCCATCCCATGCCCATTACAACAAAAATGTGACATCATCCTAAGAAGTAAAGAAAGGGACTGCAACAGGGATAACTAGAATAGCTCCATCCCGATCAAGGTCTAGGAGTGATCACATTCCTACCACGAAACAAATTATTTAAAAAGTACTCAGAACATATTCACTTTTTTTTCCGGTAGTCTGGTAAAATCTACTTGTAAATTAAGCCTGTTCAACAAAAAGATTGATGGAACTGTTACATAAAATACACAGCATCTTAAAGGCCTAAGGCCGTATTTAAGATTCAAATGTGTATACATACGCATATACTATATGTCAATACAAAAAAATATAATCAAGTGATTGATAAAGTTTGTCTATTCTTCAGAGTACAGAAGGAGACCAAAAGTATAGTCAGACACATTCTTGTACATTCAATTAAAGGCTAGTAAAGTTTCTATTTTCAAGTGCTTATTCCAGCACTGCAGGTTGCAGCTGACACAGCTGAGATGTCACAACAGTTTCCAGAGGTATTTGTTCATTTTAGCCTACAGCAAAGAAAGTGTTTTTACTTAGCACCACTGAAGAGCAATGCCAGGCACTGGCCACAGCTAGTTCCTTCAAGACTGCAGTGTGACCTCCACACTTCAGCACAGAACACCATTTCCATCATTTACATGGCTGAAGAGACTGAGGTGGATGCAATCCTTCATTAATTTCCTTCACCTGATCCAGGTCTGTCCTGCAGCAGGTCCCAAAGGACAGGTTCCCACTCCAGAATGTCCTTGTTATAACAGTGTCCTGTCCACAGGACATGCACAGAGCAGAAATCTTCAAGAAATATAAACTATAGTTAAAGCCACAAAAAGGACCACAAAGCCTTTCTTCACATTCTACTCAGAAAATGCAGTATATGAACACGTAAGCTAGTACCAAGAGAAACAGTTTAATAACTGTCTCGCTCAGTACAATGCTGGTTAATGCTGCAATACACAGATTTTTAGTGCACTTCTTCCAGAGTACACATCCATCCAAGAATTAAAATCACATAAATAGACGTAAAACTGCCACTAGATGGCATGGCTCAGACTTTTCCCACAGATTTCAGAAAATCATCAGCACAAGATTTAGTAAAATAAAGCTGTCTCAAAATTATGTTTCTTGAATTGCACAGTCTTTTTTTTTGTTGTTTGATAATTGCATTATTTCTTTAAATCTTTATTATGTCTCATTTTCAAGATGCAAGCAGGCTTAAAACTACTAAGTTTACATAACTTAGAGATACTAATATTTTTGAGGCAAAGAAAGTCAAAGTCAGACAGAGAAATAAATGGACACAGTATACTAATGTAGAAAAATGGAAGAGCTCCTGCACTCTAGCAATGAGAGCAGAAACATTCACAGCAGACACTTTACTTCTCAAGCCTCACAAAAGCAGCATGAAGAGAGGTTCTTCAACTAATATAGGACATCTATCAGTACCTACACTTTTGTTCTAATGCACTGCAAGAAAGAAGAAACAACTTATTATTATTATGCTTGCTTATTAGAGATCCTAGCATCAAATGTGAACTTTACTTTCTTCCATATTTATCATAAGTCAACTCTAAGGAAATTTCAGACTATATCATGTGACCCTTGAACGGCTGTTTTAACTTCATTAAACATTTTATCAAGCTAAGTGTTTAAAAACTGCCCTTTTCCAAGTGAACCAGGCCAATTTGATCAATGTAAAGAATTCCTTTAAAATTCACATTTATGACAATTACCATAACAAGTAGGGTATGAAGCATCTAAATTTGCCCCACCAAAAACATCACTTCAGTAAACTAAATCCAATAGTATCTAGATACACCAGCCACAATTCAAAGTCCATTCTGATTGGGCAAAGGACAAAAAGCCCCACCAAAAGCATTATCTCAAAAGCATAAACATAACATCAATTATGTTGGCTAATAGTTGGCAGACTCAGCCAAAATAACACTAGTATATACTTCGCATGTGGGAGTATGCATTAAACCTCTTTTCCCTTCGTAATACTGAACACAGGAAAAACATGCAACCATGGGAAGACAATGGGTGAGGTATAAGAAGAAACTGACCTACAGTGCTTATAATATGAACTGAAGCAGTTCAGAAGAAAGACCTTCCATATGGTCTTCATTTCAACAAGGATACCAGTTTCCAAACAGCTTCTCTAAGTCAGCAGTCACCACACACTTTTATTACCAAATGGAACAGAATATAAATATATGCACTTTTTTCCCCCCTTTTCTGTTATGAAACTTTGAGAATATTTGTTTCTCCTTAGTCTTAGGCAGGCTAAGCCATTAAAAATCATTCAAAGAAACTGGTGGCTAAAAATTTTACATTCCAGGTCCACAGAAGTGATAACTTAAAATCACTGTGCATTTAAAATTTACCAAACATTATAGCAGCATGAACGCTCCTTAGCATATTACTCAAGGATACCAAACAACAGCATGCTATCTCTCTCCTTAGTTGACTTGACTGAACTGAGAATTGCAAACAGAAGGTGGAAAATAACGAAGAATAGCAACACAATTAGTGAAGCTCCCAGATGTACAAGTCAAGAAGGCCCTTGCTCAGGTGAAGACCCACCCCTGTGATTATGT